AGAACACACATGAGTATGCTTTTGGTTGGATTGAAATTAAGTAGTTTGGAGCCTGCAAAGTGTTTCCCCCCCCAAAGAAAACTGAACAACATCTTGTACCTACAGCATCCTCGAGTAGGTAAAAAAAAAATAAAAAGATTTATATCCTTTCTTTTATATTTCTGAATAGAAATCCAGCTCATGGGTGCTCTAGCAGACAAGGTTGGGTAATCCCATACATGCTACTGACAATATGTTCTATTCTCATTTTCAAAGTACAACATAAAAAAAAAAAAATGATTTCCAAATCTTGATAAGGTAAATTTGAGATAAAAAAAACAAAATACAAAATTGTATGTTTAATCACACAAAGAAAAGGATTTCACAGACTAGTTATTTTAGCTGACTATTTGTCTCAATTTATGATATAGTGTACCAAGTTTTAAGAAATATTTGTCTATGTTAAAAAATGGTTATGGTATTAGACATTATAAAGTCAGTAGACAATTAAAAATACCCCAAGTTCAAATGCAGTCAGCACTGAAATAGAGCCATGATGTTTTTTTTTAATTTTTTTGATCCTGCTCCTTTTATGTGCCATGACCCTTCAGGACATAGGTGATCATGGCTCTTCACAACTTCCTATCCTTTTTAGTTCTAAGCAATGTCTTTAATATCCTTCTCTCCTACTGTTCTACCATTTACATGAGCTTATTAGGTAGATTACTCACTTCCCCACTCCCGGTCCTTTTTATTTTCAATATGTCCTGTGAGTGACAAATTTTCCATGCCCACTTTCCTCATTATTTACACTATTTACATGCAGACTATTGTTCTCATCATTGTTGCTGTTATCACACTGTTTTGCCCGTTGGGCTCTCCAGCCTTTATCAGGTGTATATTGAACCATGTAACATACAGGAAATTTCAAACAAAACCCTTTATTTATGGTGGTAGATTGTTCTCGGTTCACTGTCCATATCTAGGGATGTCTCAACTAGTTTTTATTTTAGTACTGCCCAGTTACTGCTTGCTCCATTTCCACCGAGTCCAAATACACTGCTGACCTAGGGATTGAACTCACAATTACTATCTAACCAAATTAATGGACTGTTTTAATACACTAAGTAACTGGCCTGTGGGATAATATATGGTCCAGTTTGAAATTGCCTATTATGACCCAGGTCAACATATCCCTGATGAAGGCTAGAGGCCACAACAGCCAAAACATTGAGATAACAACAACAAAGAAGAGGACAATAGCCTAATAGTAAATAGTGTAAATGATGACAATTCCTCTTCCCAGAAATTCAGAAACCCACTTTCCTCATTACATTCCAGAAATTTCAACAGCCTCTTTCTAATTCTATGTATACATGTCCATTTTGATTCCATTTTTCTCAAAAAGTCCTTGTTGCTCACACGTTATGCCCATAGTATTCTCAGCATCCTTCTGTTGAAACATATCTGTTGCTTCAAGTGTCCTATTCATATGTGATATAGGAAGATTGATATTACATGGGAGAATCAGAAATATTGGGGGCTGAATTTGTGTCACTATAGATGTGATCAGAACAATTAAGGAGATCTTGAAAGTATTTTAAAAAAAAAAATCTGTCCATAAGGTCAGAGATTACACAAACAGCAAGTATACAGGACAATATACGTTATCAGATATTTGGTATTTTTCATTGCTACAGCAAGAATCAAACACATCTCTATAAAATCTGACAAAATAAAAAGAAGCATTTTTTATTTTTTTTAAATCAGATTCTCACTGGCTCGGATTTTGTATTCAATGTCTTTATTTTTATCCAATCAGAATCACTCTTAGAAAATCTAGATCTTCTAAAATGAGACCATGAATCATCTTACATATGCACTTGACAGTCATTAAAAAAGGAATTAAATTTGAAATGAAGTTTTGTACTGATTTACTCCTAATCTTCATTATCAGACAGCCTTAACAAGCCTGTCCCAAACAACAAAAAAAAACTGATATTTGAACATAGTCAAATTTTGGGAAGTGGATTTTACATAGGATTTTTCAGCATCTCTCATATCTATTACTGTATTCATTTTAGAATTATTCCAACCCGGGGTAAATTTCAGGGATTCAGTGCAGGAGGGAAAATTTTTTCACAAGTTTCTCAATGACTGTAATCTTCATCAGAATAAAATTGGTTTAAATACCTTGACCTTTTATTGTACTTTATATCAAATTCCAATAACCTGGTATTCTATTGAACTTTTTGTTTATTAAAGTATACTTCAGTTTATTTATTTAATAATCGGTTATGAATTAAAACAAATTACTGTACATGTTTTCAAGTTTAAAATTCCATCAACATTTTCTATTCTTACTAAAATTATAAAACTCCTCTATAAAAATAATCCATGTATATATACAACTATGGAAAAGAATGAAATTTTTTAATATTTGTTAGAATGCACCTTTTGAGTCAGACAATCTTGAAAAGGAGGGAATGACATTCTAGCATATAGTGTAAAGGGTGCATTAACCAAAAATGTCTATAGGCAGACTATGAAGTTTATTATGGTGACTAGCTACTGAAGATACCTTCCCAATGGTGTCACATGTTGAAATCATTTCCCCAGTCCAATCTTATTAAAAAGTCAACCCTGCTGACAAACTGACCATAGTGAAATTCAAACTCAGACCACAGGGTGAAAACACTAATGTTCTGACCACTTGACCACAGCAATATCAGTCCAGAAAGTATCGCACAATTTACAATTAATGAAAAAAATCAACTACCAAGCGCAATTGGTATTATAGACCTTCTTCAAAGTATGCCCCTTGAGACATCACAAGCTTATCCCTTTTTCTATTCCATCTTTGAAAATGTTATACAAAGTCCTCTTTTGGGATGATCATCATCTGTCTTGTCATATTCTTTTACTTTCATGCAGAGGGTTTCAACAGGAATTTTAAGTTATGAATCTAGACTGTCTAACAGGAGTTCTCAACCAGGTGGGAATCATCCTGAGGTAATTTCAGGGTTTCAGTGGGGAGGAATCTTTTACCTTTTTATTGGTTTTTAATTACAGAATTTAGAGTTCATCATAAGTGTTAATAGAGAAGAAAGGTCTCAATGTACAGTTTGTTGCAAAGTTTTGTCAAATGAATTCTTTGGAATGAACAAAGTTGAAGCAACATTTATGAAAAGTTAATTTATAAAAAATAATCCATGTAAATGTACTAATATGGAAAAGAATGAAGAGTTTCAATAATATATGCATCATTTGACAATCTTGGAAACAAAATGAATGACATTCTGAAAACTGGTGAAAAACTTGAGAGCCATTGCTGTAGAGGGATGATAGACCTGATTCATCTGATGTTTTGCCAGGTTCGTTATTGGGGACAAGGCCCCACTCACAAAAATCATTCCCCAACTAAATGTGAAACTGATCTGAACTAATTTTAATGCAATTTCTTACTTGCTGTCTCACTGACTTAAAGGTTGGCTTCACACTCAAAACACAGATAATGGGTCTGTTTTTTTTTTTGGGGGGGGGGGGTAAAGGCATCAGAGTGAATGCTTCAGTCATACAATATGCAATCTCCATTAATGGTGTCTTGTTGCCGATTTTAGTAACCCCATGGGAGAGAATCAGTTCATGTGTGTCCAGTAATGTTCATTTGAGTTGGTTGCCAAGTTGTAGTAAGTCTATATAACCAGTTCTTAAGATATTCAAATTCTGAACAGACTTTGTGTGTGTGTATATATATATATATATATATATATATATATATATATATATATATATATATATATATATATATATATATATATATATATATATTAGATATATATTATTCTGGCATGAATCATTAGTGAAATGAGTCAGGATAAACCTTAAAGTTTAGCCATTGAAGGCAATAGATACAAATTCCTTATGAATTTTTAGACCAAATTACAATTGGCTTGGCTGTTTTGAGAGAAGACAACACAAAATACCATATATACTCAAATATTATGCAAGTTTTTTTTATCAGTTTTTCATAAAAAAAAAAAATATAGAGGGTCGCATTATACACAGGTAGTCTTTTTTGAAGAGGCTAAAAATCATGCATTTTCAGTGACTGGTTGCACTATACACGGGTAAATTCTTTTCTGGGGAGGTTAAAATTCATGCATTTTCAGTGGCCATAACTGACTTAGATCTTTTATTTGTTTGCTTAATGTCATATCATTTCCTTATAGGCCATTTGATATTGAAATTTAATTTTCTTGGAGGGCTTTGAAGTAATAAACATATATGTTATTCTACTTTCACAACTGAATACATGGTAGATGATACACAGCTTTTGGGCAAATTAATGTCTACTAAATTAATGTCTGCAAGCCTAAAACATTAAAAGTCTTATTTGGAAGGTACATTTCTTTAATGAGACCTTCAGTAATGTAGGCTGGTAGACATTAATTTCACAGTTTGAAAATAAATACTGATGTCTACTCAAATACATTAAACCACTAAAATAACATTTCTAGATATAAGAAAAAGATGAGTATATAGATGTGTGCATAAATGGTGAGATTGTAAAATTTAAAATAAGACTTGACTACTGGAATGTTGTGTTCTCATTTTACTTGTGAAATACATAATACTAGTATTTACATTAGTCGGACTATTGTCCTCATCTTTGTCGCCATATTTGTCACAACGTTTCGGCCGTTGTACGCTCCAGCCTTCTTCAGGTGGTTGGAATTTCGAACTGAACCCTTTATTTCGATTGCTGGGGTAAACTGTTCTAGTTCCACGTGCCATGTTTTGATGGATGTCAGTTATCAGTTATCTCCTGCTAATTTTCCCTCTGAAAGTTCTCCACTGCCTTAACCAGCCGAAACGTTGTGACAAATATGGCGACAAAGATGAGGACAATAGTCCGACTAATGTAAATACTATACATAATACCTCATCTCAGAAATATAGACAGACATAATACTAATGTAATTATGAATATGATTAAGTAATTCAATAACTTGTCCTACCTGTTGACACTCTATCAGTTTGTTGCAAAATTCCAGTTCGGATTTCTTTGTCTCTTCATATTTGGTATGCAATTTTGAAGAATACTGAATCAAGAAAAGAAAATGAAAAATAAATAAATAATACTTTATCATTAGCACACTTTCAATAATCAGGAAACAACAACACTGCTTATCATCAGTAACATTTTTGGCTCAAGTAGCAGTTCATTAGAAACAAAGAAAAGAGTGCTGGATTGCTATATGATATCTATCCTCTTAGATGACAATTAATGATGAACAACATCTCCACAGATTAAGAGAAAACTGGAGGCAATAGAAATGTGATGCTGCAGAAGGCTCTGAGAATTCCATGGACAGAGCAAGCAAGCAACAAGGAAGTTTTAAAGGAAATGGCAACTAAAAGAATGCTTATGCTCAAAATTAGAAAGAGATAGCGAAAATTCCTTGAACCCATAATAAAGAATAAAAGCTTGGAAAACTTAACCTTCACAATTCAAAGTGAGGGCAAGAGAGATAGTGGAAGTCATTGAGCTTGACGAGCTTGTGTGAACGGATTGGGGAATGGGGTGGGGAGTCTTAGCAAATGTAGAAAAACTGCTAAGGGACACAAGGGATAAGAAGATTTAGAGAGCCATGATCACCCATATTTTTCATTTGTCTACTGTAATTTGTAATCATTTACATTATTGACATTGTTCAGGCTGTTGTCCTCATCTTTATTGCCATATTCACAATGTTTTGGCCATTGTATTCTTAGGCTTTCTTCAGGTGATTGGAATCTTGAACCAAACCCTTTATTTCATCCATCGAGGTAGATTGTTCTAGTTCCACTATTTGCTCATGGCTGGGACCCTAACAGGTAATACTTCCCTGGCACCTGAGAACAGCAATCAAGAGATGGTTTTATGCTCTTCAAAACCTCTAATTTCCCAACCAGAGTCCAGCTTCAACCGCAAAATTTAAAGTTTCTCAAAAATGAAAATTTTCCAAAAGAAATAAGAATCCTTTTCATAAAGTGGTGGACAAACTACTTTGAAAACTATATTATCATAGAAGAAAATATGAATTTTCGCTTAATGGAATTTTTACTAAACCTTGTGCCTCCTTAATCAAATCAATTTTCTTTTTTTGGATTGCCTAAGAAGACAGAAAATATGGTTTTCAGCAAGAGAAAAAGCCCAAAATGCAAACCACAAATTGGAAATATCAAAATCAAGCAAGCACAAAAATTTAAATATATTTCAAATATTTAAACAGAGAATGGAAAATGAGAAACCAAAATCTGGAATAGTGAAAGATACCTTCCAAATGCTAAGTAAAATATTAAGAAACAGGAAAACTTTGTAAGAAACAAAGAAAAGAGAATTATTATTTATGAAGAAGAGATTTGAAGCAACAAAAATTTGAAGGATGATAAAAATATTATGGAATGAACAAGAAAGTTCTTTTTTTAAGGAAAATAGAAATGTAGAGATATGTAAATGATTGTCTACTTAGCATAGCTAAAGCAAAGAGATGATATAATGTGTCCAAGCAGCAAGGGAAAAGGTAGAATAGGATACACAAGATGAACAATTATTGCTGGACTTGGAAAATACAAAAGAAATCACATTTCATAACTGGAAACAAACAGGACACTTATACTTAGAATCAGTCAGAAAGAGTTGAAATTTCTAGGACGCATGAGGAAAGAAGGCTTGGAGAATTTAGTACTCACATTATATACTGAAAGCAAGAGTGAGAGGAAAGCAGAGAGTAACCTCCCTAACTAGCTTCTGTAAATGCACAAAAGAACAGAAAGTGGGAGAGATAGTAAAAAGTCAAACCTTACTGAGAGCTACAAAGGATAGGAAGTTGTGAGGAGCCATGACTGTTCATGTACATTGAAGATTGATTTATTTTCTACAGCTTATCAACCTGCTGATATATATAACATATGCAAATATAAATACACAAATGTATGCCCACACATACACACAAACAGAACCACACATACACACACATATATATACACTACAACTGAAGTTATTAGCCACTTGATGTTTTCTTTTAATAAATACTTAAAGTAAATGTTAATGAAAATATAAAGGTTTATTTGTTAAATGGCAGCAACATCAATCCATGCAGCTGGGGTGGAAACGAATTCATGCTATACAAATGCAAACAACTGTGCCATTTTGACAAAATTCTCTGAATTTTGAAGTTTCAAGTTTATAGACTTACTGCAAATGTGAAGCTTTAAAAAAGTGTATAATGCTCATTTGAAAGATAAAAAAAATAATTTTAGAGCTCAAAAAAATAAAACAAGAACTTGTAAAAATGTTTGACATCCTTAGAATGTTGAAACTCCGAGAAACAAAGTTGTAACTAAAAATGATTATTGCAGAACCTGTGCAAATGTTTCTAAACGATGCAGGTCAGTTGAGTAATTTATTTCAGTCTGTGTCCCATGTCAAAAGAGAAGTTAGAAAAAGGCCAAAGTGTTTAAAAAAAAAGTGGCAGCTGTGTGTTGTTTTCAATTTGGAAGTGGAAGGAATATAGCAAGTTTAAGATGATGTTAAAATGGGAGAGCAGATATAAATTCTTTTGAAGGCACACATAGAGCCATTGCTCATTAAGAAGCATGAAAATGCTTTATTATATTTAGCAAAGAAAATCAATGCACATATAAATAAAGAAAACAGGTTTCAAAGACTTATGAAGTAGCCAGCTTGTTTTTCTCGACCCTAAATACTGTATATAGTTGTGTATGATGTTACTTTTGAAGACTTAATTTTGAAGCTAATTTTAAGAGGATCATATCATATATGAGATATAAAATTACTGCATATACTGCTTGCCCTGATATTGCCATTGACCAAACTATACATCCATTGTAGTCAAGTTAAATTCAAAATTAGTTCTTCAAAGGTTTCATGATACACAAGTATATACAGTTCTTGTGAATCTTTCCAAAGAGGAAGGTTTATATTGGAGGACAACAATTTACCCACAAAGATGAACTCTGGAATATTATTCTGGATGTTGAGCAATTTATTTCATATGAACATATAATTTTAAAATATTAGAGGATGAATGAAACTGAATCATAGATTTCACATTAATTTTGTCAATATTACAATGACATTCTTTTTAATATTTGTTTTTGTAAACCTTGCACAGGTTCTGCAATAATCATTTTTAGTTACAACTTTGTTTCTAGGAGTTTCAACAATCTGATTAAGGATGTAAAACTTGGAAAATCATGTAAAATTCATAAAACTGTCACCACATCCTAAGAGTGACATAATCTACTATAATTTATATGTATATGAAATATCCTGGACATGAATATCACAAATATTTCTGTGAATCGTTTTATCAGTTTTCTAAAAGTAAGAAAAATTAAAAGTGATTAATAGTGTGAAATACAGCCAAGAAATATATACACACATATATACAAATGTGTGCTGGAAATTTCTCAGTCTTACTGATTTATCAGAATCTGTATTTCAATAATCAAACCCAATTTCCCCAACCATGTCACTGGTGTGCCAATATAATTAGCCTTAACGTACATATCACTTAATGAGTGCAATAAAAACTTTAGATTTATAATTTACTATCAAATTTTTTTTTAAATTAATCTAATCACCAATCACCCTCCACCTCAGTTAAAACTATATTGTTTATGAATACTGTTTACGACATAATGACTGATATGTTTACACTACTGAAAACATTTAGTTCTTGATAATGACAAAGACAGTGTAAAGTACTCAAGCAAAAACATTAACATTGGATATGCAACAACTTATCCAAAAATTGAAAAATACAATTGTTCATATAATTCAATACTGCTCCTTTAAATAAATTCTGGATGCTTATATAGATATATTTTAGACACACACACCTAAAAGTGGGTTAATGCTTAATTAGATTGTCTTGAATTTTTGGAAATGTTTTGTATTCTTGTTCTTATTAATTCTACTGAAATACTAAGATAGCTGAACTTTAAACAACAAAAAAAGCATTATTTTCATCATTAATTTGCTTGCAGATACATCAAGACATTTTCATTCGAGAAGTTATTTTATTAGAGATATTTTTAAGCCACTTTTATGTCTTGCTTGGCATTGATCTTTTAAGATTAGCACTACAGTTGTGCTGAATAAAAGAAAAAAAATATTTTTTCCTCATTTTGATTTGCAAGACCAAACAAAGCAGAGCTGCCTGACATCAAAGACTGGCAAGACACAAACAAATAACTTTGTGTCAACCTAAACAAACATAAGAAGAAAGATCAGAGTTAACTGATTATCTCAAAAAGATAACGTTAATTATTATTAATTTTGAACTGAACTGTTATATAATATCAGTTCTGTCTATATTTCTGAGATGAGGTATTATGTACAGTATTTACATCAGTCGGACTATTGTCCTCATCTTTGTCGCCATATTTGTCCAGCGTTTGGCCGTTTATGCGCTCCGGCCTTCTTCAGAAGGTGGTTGGAATTTCGAACTGAACCCTTTATTTCGAAAATTGCTGGGGTAGACTGTTCTAATTCCACGTGCCATGTTTGATGGATGTCAATTATCAGTTATCTCCTGCTAATTTTCCCTCTGAAAGTTCTCCACTGCCTTAACCAGAAGGTGAGTTCAATTTCCTGGTTAAGGCGTTGTGGAAAATATGAGGATAATCCATCAAAGATGAGGACAATAGTCCGACTAATGTAAATACTGTACAATATCAGTTCTCCTCTATAGCAGTAAATACTGGATAATCTCACCACTGATGAGGCAGTAGAAATGTGGTTCTACAGTAGGATATTGAGAATACTATGAACCAAACATGTGAGCAACAATGAAATTTTAGAGAAAAGGGAAACAAAAAGGACATTTATACTTAGAACACAAAAATGTGAGTTGAAATTTCTAGGGTACATAATGAAGAAAAAAAGATTGGAGAATTTGACACTCACAAGACATATTGAAGGCAAAAGAGACAGAAAAAGCAGTAAAGAAATGACCTAACATGATTGGGTAAATGATTGGCAGAACAAGGATATAGGAGAAATAGCAAAAACAAACTTTACTAAGAGCGA